TTCATCAGGAAGAGGAGACAAATCAGACAGTAAAACATATTCAGCTAATCTGCAAATTGACTTTACTATTAAATTACTTTCCTCTACATACAGTTGTGCTACTGTTCATATATCCTACCATTAAAGACAGAAACAATCAGCTGCCAGTAAAATAAAATTCAATTGACAAAAGTAATAAATAAATGTGATAAAAAAGATAATCATACTGATTTTGAATAGATTTTTTGGATTTTTTTTTTCCTAAATTGTCATTTTGTATTTTTTTATTTATTATTTCTTTTTTCAGGTTTGTTTTATTTGAATTACCCGTGTGAATTTATCATTTTCTTTAATGCGAGGGTTTTATAAAATTTCAAGCAAAACTGTAAAATCCTCTGACCTGATTGCTTTTCCCCACAGTGCTGTTAATGAAGAAAGGCTGCTAGCCATGACAACAGGTAAGTCAAGTGGAGTAAGAGGATAACAATAAACTGTATTCTTACTGTTAGGCCTCGGTTAGAGCACCACATAATGTATAAACTGAGATTATCTAGAATTAATACAGTGAGTTAATTTTTATATGAGATCAAAGGCAAAAATAAAGTATGTTGCTTTATTCCTGCAGTGATGAGATCTTTCCTGTTCCTTGTTACAGTCTATGCTAACATGCCACCTCCCCGCCGCAATCAAAGCCATCACTGATGGCGGACTGATGGAGCTGCAGATGAAGACCCAATTTAATGTGTTGTTATATCTGAGAACTTCGATGCTTGAACCTAATATTTGTTGATGAACCCTCCCAGATTTCTCTCTGTCATAATGGCTAATGGACAGACCTTCATAGACCCTTTCCTTCTGCAACCTCCACAGCTTCTTTAGTGGTACCTGAGATTTTGGGTCCTGAAGCCTCCCTGGATTCCTTTCAGTTTGCCTCCAGAGAACTAAGATTTTTTTTAATGTTCAGTTTTCCTTCGTGAAGTCTTCGCCTTGTCCTAATGGGGTAACCAGCCTGTGCAACCTGAGCTTTTAGGTTGTTTTTGTGGTTTTCTGGTGGTGCAGAAGTGACACTATAGGGCTCTGAGACAAGTAATAGTTTTTACTCTGGTTTTCACAGTAATTGATTGTAATTTGAGGTTTATGTAAGGAAAATAATTTGGGATCCCCCCCCCCTTTTATATAAAATCTAGTTTTTTACGTGTTTCGTCCTGTCATAAATTTGTATAAAATAATTGTACTGTTTGTTCGCATCACTATCAAAGGGATCATCATTTTATGATCACAGTTAAGCCTTTGCTTCATTTATGATACTAAGGCTCATTCCTCAGATAAAGGTGCATGATAAATCAGAATAAAGGAATGTCTCCATATTCCAGGTGGAAAAACTGAAATAAAGTTAGACCAAGCAACTTATACAAGTTAAGAAAACTTGGTTCTTCAATGAAATAAGTCAAGTACTTTAATATAACAGAAGGATGTATTCTGCTCCATTAATCTGCTCCTGATATGAACAAATAAGAGCCTTTGCATTTACAGTTTTCTCTGCTATGTAATTCATCTTATTCTCTGTCGCTACGCAATTATTATTTTATTTCTGTTTTTATTTTGTTTTTCTCAATATTTTTGACATATATATTTCATATATTATTAATTTCTTACATGTTTGATGAGTACACAGCTGGATTGAATAAATGGTCTAAACTAGCCAGACTGTATTTTTTGGATCCGCCCCTCCATTGATGTCATTTTTGTAGTTTGTAGTTATGACAAGTTGGTTCCCTGTATGTCAAAATAAGTCATGGATCATATAATACATTTTATTAGTTTTATTATGGTATTTACTGTATATGTTACTCTGAGGCTAAACTACATGCTGTTAAATTAGCCGTTGTTATTAAAGCAGAAGTACCAGTAAATCTCCAATAAATGTCAGCACTGTGTTGCAAACACATCAATTAAGATAAATGATTTAAACTATTGCATTTTTCAGAATACCTTAATCAAATATTTTTATTAAATTGAACAGTCTGTAAGTAGTCATACAATATAATATAAAAAGACCAAACTTTGCAGGGAGAGAAACTTGCTTTAGTGTTAAAGTCAAGATGGAACGAGGAGCACCTTTTCAAATTTCAGGTACCGTATTTAGCTCCTGATCTGGACTGATTGGCAGTTTTCTCCACTGGTCTGATGATTCTCTGGAAGCTGGGCTGTATAAGCAGATTTAGATAAGCAATCATTAAATAACTCGATCTTTATGTTGGAACCAAGAACATATTTTTACACATTTATTTACTGACCTGCTCGGATAGCAAAGGACAAATTAATTGGGTGAACAAAAATTCTGGGGCCTGGAGGAAGAGTAGAGCCACCTGGTCCGTGGTTTTGGCTGGGGCCGGCTGCGGGGCCTAGGTGGCCTGCCGGTGGCGGGGCTGTCGCCTCTGCTCTCCCTAAAGAAGGTTGGAAGGAGGGGCATGAAGTGCCTGGTTGAAGTGTTTTTTTTTTTCTGGTTGGGTGGCCTGCGCGGGATGGGTGGGCCCCGGTCCCAGGGGGGCTCTTGCTGGGGGTGGTCGGGTCCGTGTGTGGGGGATGGGGGGCCGGGCTCGAAGCAGTAATGAGATGGGTTGGTGTGGCGCCGCTCCCCCCCCATGCGGATTTTAGATTCACTTATTGGGTCATCCGATAGTCCCGGGACCAACCACCGGTGCCACCGGGTTTTTGGTCCTGGTATTATTGGATGTGAGTGGTATGTGTGAATGTGTGTCCGTGTTGTTATTTTATTTTTTATTTTTTTATTATTTATTTCGTTCTTTTTTTTTTTTTTCTGTGGTGCAAGTGGGGACACTAGGGCGGGAAGGCATGATTGAAATTGTGAGTGTTTTTTTTTTCTTTTCTCTCCCAGGTTGGGGTCTCAACTGCACCCTCTCCCAAATACATAAAGTCTCAACTAGTGCGGAGCCCATTCCCCCCGTCCTGCTCTCCCTCCGGTGGCTGGTGTCGGGGCTCACCGGTGCACTGGTGGCGCTCGGGGTCTGGAGGTGGATGCCCGGGGGGCTGCTGGCTCATTCCTGGCGGCCTAGCCGGCCGGGGCTTTGCTGGGGCTCCTGTCTGGGGGTCGGGTGCCCCTGGGGCCTCAGATCTCTGGGGCACAGGACTGGATCCACTTCAGGGTGGGGCTGGGTGTTGTTCGGGGATTTTCGGTGTCGGTGCTGGTGCCTTCACTTCGATGCCGGTTACTGGGCGATGCTTTTTCCGATGCCGGTTCTGTGGTATCGGTTCGGGGGGAGGGGATCTGCACGGCATGGTGAGTTGCAGGTCTTGGGTCTTGTTTTGGGCTCCGGTTTTTCAGCTTGCATTTCTTCTCTTGCATAGAGGAATTTTTATTTATTTTAATTTTAATTATTATTTTATTAATTAATTAATTAAATTTTTTTTTTTTTCTCGGTGGGGGGGAGCGGTTCCGGGCGGGTCGGTGTCTGGTGTCCACTGTCGCATTGTGGGGGCTTTTCTGCTTGCCGTGTTTTTTTTGTTTGTGTTTTTTGGGGGGGGGATTGGCATGTCTGTTTCCTCGGGGGGCGGGTAGCCCTGTTGGGTGGGGGTCCTGCTGGCGGCGCGCCGCTGGTGTGTGGGGGTCTGGGCGGCTCCGGCGGGGGTGGTGTAGGGGGGCCAGTGTGGATGGGCTGGCTGCGCTGATTGGGTATTTGGGTGGGTTTTCCCTCTAGGAGGCATGGTGGAGCTGCTTTCTTCCCGCTGATCGCGACGGGTGTGGCTGCGGGGCGGGTGGGGTGGCTTTGGCCGGCGTGCGTTAGGGGGCCGGGGCGGCGGAGCCGCTCCGGCCGCGTGTCGGGGGCTGGTGCGGGCGGCGGATGCGGCTGTGCTGCTCTGGCTTCGTCTGGTGGGGAGCGAACCACGCCGCTCCCCTCTGGCTATGTGCTGCCCGCGGGCTGCTGGGGGGGGGGTGATTGCGCCGGCTGCGGTCTGCTCTTCTTGCGGTTGGGCGCCGGGCGGCTTTTCTGCTCTTGGGTTGATTCTGTGCGCCATGTGTTGCGTTGCGCGCTGCTGGCATCGGTCTTGGTGGGGTGGGGCCGCGCTTTTGGCCTGGGGGGGGTCCCGCGGCGCTCGCGGCCGGTTCGCTGCGGAAGCGTGGGCCCCGGCTGTGGGCGGGGCCGCCTGTGTGTTTTTCCTGAGTGGTGCGGTCGCATTGGGTGCATTGGGTGTTGCGGCCGGTCGCCGGGGCTTGGTGCCGGGGGGCGGGGCGTGTTTCGGTGCTCTGTGGGGCTGAGGCATTTCGGTCGGTGCCGTGGGGGGGCTGGTGTTCGGTGCCCAGCCCTGCTTCAGGGTGGCTGGCTGCCGGCGGAGCCCGCGGACTCGTCCCCACGGCTCCCCGGGGCGCTGGCATGGCGGTGGCTGGGGGGCTTCTTCGGTGCTGTCTCTCCTCCTCCCTTGGTGGGGGTCTAATTTCTGGGGCTGGCCCCTCCTTGGTGCCTTCGCTCTTGGGGTCCCTTTGGGCGCCTGGGGCTTTGGGTCTCCCAGCGCTGGACTCTGGGGGGTGTGCCTCTCCAGCTCTCCACAACCACTATTGAGCATTTTTTCTATGGAAAAACTTTACATGCACACTTGATTCAAGTTCCTGATATATCTTCTCATTATGCACTCAGGTTCTCCACAGTATTGCTAATGACCTAAGTATTTGACTCAGGCATGTTGAAGCATAGACAAAACCAAAATGTACAGGTCACGTCACTGTCAGTAACCTAGCCTATTTTTAACTTGCATAACTGTTCTGTCATTGAAAAATTGCTCTCGCATCTCGCTGCAGCTGCAACAATCCTCAGCCACTGTAAGTCCAAAAATGAGAATGCAGTCTACCGGTGCATTTTTTTTTTTAAATCTTATCAGGGACTTAAATGTGTCCCTGGCCCCTTCTGCGTCTCCTGTTTTACCTCCCAACTCTTCTTCCATTCAGCCTCACTTTTCTTTCCCTTCTACTCTCTAGCTGTTGACCCTGTCCAAAAACCTGTTTTACCTTTAGCTATGAGACATTGTAAAATTGTGCTGTGCTCCAGCTGCATTCCTACCTGCCAGCTGATGGTTAATGAGATGCATTTTGGAACTCTTTCAGAAAACTGGTGAATCGTTTGGTGATATAATGCATTGCACACTTGATTCAGCTATGCAATATGGTTTGCAAAAGCGTTCCAAATTAAATAAATAATGGACATTTTCTTTATGAAATATATTTAATAATGATAGAATATATGAATCAACATAACATAACCAATTAATAATGTAGGAAACAGCAGAGTTGTACCTAATTTGTATGGAGGCAACGAAGCATTGCATCCTGTTCAAAGAAATGCAAACCTCTTTTTAGATGTTCACAGGTAACAAGATGGTGTGAGATTTGACAAAGTAGATTTGAGAAAATAAACTTCTATATGAGAAATGTACCTAAGCGGCTGAGAAAAATAAAAATAAACGTTACCCACAAACCACACGGATGAAGAAATTCACATGTATCTTCAAACTGTAAAAGTAGTGAGACGATATATGAAGATCTGTGGCCTATCTGTAGGGTTTTCTCAGTTTCCTTTACGCTGTCGTGACCCAAAAAGGTATTCTTCATTAGTCAGATTGCTGAGACAGTTGACTATCCTGGATGGCAGGTATTGCATTGCTGATATGGGCTGATTGTGGAAAATATATGCTAAGTTTGTGTAGTTTTACTGTCAGATGTTTTCTATTATAATATGAATGTTGACTTCAGATATTTTGCACACATTCAAAATAACACATGTGAGTACAATTTTAAAAACTAAGACAGCTAATATTTAGACATGCATAAAAAATGCATGTTTAAATATTAGCTGCGGCGTCGGATGTAGGAGTTTGCCCTGAAATCGAAGGATTGACGGTTGATGGTGGTCAGAGGGCCCGGTGGTTCCAGTGTACGGCAGCCCCGCTTCTGTTGGTGAGACCCAGGGCAGCTGTGGCTACAATGTAGCTTGCCACCATCAGTGTGTGAGTGTGTGCGTGAATGGGTGAATGAATGTAGTGTAAAGAGCTTTGGTCAAGTTTCCTGACTTGAAAAAGCGCTATATAAGTACAGGCCATTTACCAAATGTTGTAGTAATTTATATTGCATAGTAATATAGTAGTACAATCATTTTAAAATTTCATTTTTAAAATGATCATCACTGTATTTTTTTTCCACCCTTGCTTGGACTTTAGTGTAGCTGAGAATCAAACTGCTGATGGGGCTTGGCTCTAACTTAAAGGTGTTTTATAAAATGCATTTTAATTATATCTCCTTGTTTCTTTCTTGCTTTTCCAGCAGCTGAATCAGATCAGATCCAAAGGGAGATTATCAGGTTAGAGTTCACAAAAACAATCATGTATTTTATTATTCATGTCTTTATTCAGTTCTTGACTTCTCTTTAAAATGCAATACTGTTCAAGTTTTTACAGTGTTGAAGCTTTTGTATTTCTGCTTCTGTCTCCTTGAACCCCAATCGGACTCGGCAGATGGCCGCTCACACTGAGCCTGGTTCTGCTGGAGGTTTCTTCCTGTTAAAAGGGAGTTTTTCCTCTCCACTGTCGCTACAAGCATGCTCAGTATGAGGGATTGCATCTGAGTCAATGAGTCGATGCAATCAACTGGTTTTCCTTAGATAGAAAACTTTGAATAAATTAACTGTGTGATCTGGTGAACTGTATGGCCTTGAGAGGACATATGTTGTGAATTGGTGCTACATGTATAGAAATAAACTGAATTGAAGCGATTCAGCTTGCTGAACAGGGAGCTCCATTTAGAAAAAAAAAGACTACTTTTATTAGTCTAATAAAAATTTTAAACTTTAAATCAAAACTATAAAGTTGTGCACTGAATATAAGCTAAAAGTCACACTGATGGATAAAAAGGGTAGAAAAATCGCCTGCAGCAGGCCTGAAACTAACAACCACTGGGAGGAATAATTACAATCATTCCAATTTTTACAGTTACTTTTATTTATTAAAGACTTATTGAGAACGGATTACTACATGAATCCACCTCTGCGTCTACAACTAAACTTGTAATCAAACTTCTACGGAAGGATAAAGGTCTCATTCTTTACTTCGTTGTCCTTATTATAGTATTTAGTGATTATTGTTTTGTTTTTTTTGTCTTCCTACTGTATTTATTTTCCCATAGTATTAATGCTATTAATGTTATTTTTATCCCAAAAACATTATGCAGTTTTGAACATAATTTCTTTTTAATATGTACCTATTTCATGCTGATTCTTCAATGAACACATAGCAGCACCACTAATGTTGTTTTCAGGGGAAAGTTCACTGCATTCAGCCTCAAACCAATTACCTTGTAGAGGTTTAACCATATACTTTATTCCCTTACTTAAGTAGAAATTTTGGCTATTTATACATTACTAGGTTTTTATTTTTAAACAGCTTTTATTTCTACTCTATTTTCAACTTACATTTTGGTTATATTTTAGCAATTGGAATGACTAAGAACAATAAAGAAATGCTCCCATATCTTTATTTAGCTTATTTATTGAAATTAGACCTGAAAAGTTTTTTTTTGTGTGTTTCAGATCAAGCAAACATTAAACAACTCTCCTGCCCTTCTGGATTTGTCTGCTACCAAAGAAGGGGGAACATCAGCCTCTTATCAGGAAAACATGACAAGGTTTCAGCTGCACAGTTCAACACAGGTTCAAATCCCTTTAAAGGAATAAGATCTGCTCAGTTTTTGCTCAAATCTATCCTAAAAAAGAAAAGCACAAACTACTGCTCTGCGCCCCTGAGTATGTTCCTGTCAGTATGTATAAAAACTTTTACTTGTAAAATTGGTTTCATTTGGTTTTAAGATCAGTTAGATCTTAGTGATAATTTTTTCTTGAGATTTTCTCAATCCTGATGACATAATTCAGCCTAAATCCACTAAACTTCCTGCAAAGTTAGAACCAAAGTTACCCTCAAGCTGTAAAGATTAAATTTTTCAGTAAAAATGTTAAAAGTAAAAAGCTACAGCTGTCAGAAAGATCTAAAATGAATTACAAGTAAGAATTGTTCCAAAAGCTTCTGACCTGAAGTCATAAATAGATTAATTATATGTTTTAATAGAAGGGTTTTACAGATTCTCTCTAAGATGGATTTCAATATTTATTTTCTCTAAGTGGATCAAAGTTCTTATTGTTGATCTCAGGACTAAAGGTCTTGCAATAATTTGATGTTTCAAAGGAAAAGACCCAGCTGACATAAAGCTGTTCACGACTACAGCCATACTGGTGATGACAAGGGCAAGAAAATGTCTCCATAAATAAGAAAACTCCACCCGTCCTTTTCAATATTTACTACAGTGAGTTGATATTTACTGTATATAAAAAACAAAGTTATTTTACTAATGCTGTATGGGGTAAAAAGTAATAACAGGTACTGGATTCGTTGTCAGTTTAATTTTATTACAAAAGGTTTTACAACAATAAACCTGATGACCAGTTTAACCAATACTTCCATTAAGCTGAACTGGAAAACAACAAGATAAAAATGTCAAGATGTTTTCCACGAAGTGAAGGATCCCACTTATAACTGCATCTTTTTTTGGAGGCAAGAAAAGTACAATTATAACATTTAGTTAGTATTTACTTTAAGTATGGTTTAAAACAGGCATTCCCAAACTCGGTCCTCAAGGCCCCCTGTCCTGCAGGTTTTAGAGGTTTCCTTGCTCCAGCACAGCTGATTTTAATTGAAAGCTGATTAACAGGCTTTTGGTCTACTGCAATCATTATAACCAGCTGTGCTGAAGCAGGGAAACCTCTAAAACCTGCAGGACAGGGGGCCTCGAGGACCGAGTTTGGGGATGCCTGGTTTAAAACATTTAGTGTAGCATAACCTTTATGAATTAATGATATGATGTTAAACTTATCAGATTATGATTTTTCACAAATTAAAGACAGCTCAGGTAAATATCCAAAGATGAACATAAAGCACTGAATCTTTCTTTAAATTAACTATATGAAAGCAGCCAGGTGATGATTTGGAGTAAATATTATCTTCAATCATTTGACATCTCTTTATAATGACTGCTGTTGTTTAATCGATCATAAATCAGCTGCTGTAAATTATGCCACGGCAATGAGCCAACACCACGATGGAGGAAGGTATAACATCTACAACTCTAATATCTATGTTATACATGGTTTTAAATGTGAAGTCAAAGGGACAACGGTAATGGTGAGGCTGATTCAGGTGGTAATTAGCAATGATTCAGTGCATCTACAGTC